TGGGATCTGTTGAGGGGTGCAGCGGTGCATCCCTCGAGGAAACCAATCTGTGAAGTCCTGACCCCAGGTGGCAGACTGGATTGGATGTGGAGATGGACAGGGTGGTGAGAAGAGGGAGAGGCACCAGGGATGCACTCAGAGAAAGGGCCAGGAGGACCAAGCAGGGAGGCGGCCGCCTGCACCTAGCAGGGAGGCCTCAGACAAACAGAACCTGCGGATGCTTTCATCTTGTACTCTGGGCCTCAGGACTTCGACAGAATAAATTTCTGTGGTTTAAGCTGCTGGGTCCGCAGTACTTTGTGACGGCAGCGGCACACACCTACAGGTGAGCGGCATCGGAACATGCTGGCTGCGAGGGTTGCCCACACTGGGCTGACACCTTCATCCTCACACCACAGCGGAGTGACCGGAACCATCCACTCGTGACCCAGGACGGTGCCAAGGCCAAGACCTGGCCCTGTCCTCCAGCCCAGCAAATCGCCTGTCAGGAGAGAGGGTTGGGGCGGGAGGCCCCAGCAGGAGCTGTTGTCCTACCCAACTGCTGCGGGCCCAGGGCTTGGCTACAGCTGAGAACACGAAGGGGAATGGGGCCGGTCGTGACGCAGGCGCTGGTTCTTGGGGGCAGCACTGAGACATTAGAAATGCCGGCAGGTGCTGTAAATAGCTCCTGAATCGGGGACCCTAGGGGACCTCACTTACCAGAGAAAGAATCTCAGCCAAGCCCACACCAGGGTTTCCACCATCTCTCCCCAGTGACAGGCCCAGGGCTCTGATTTCAGAGCCAGGCAGACCATACACTTTTCTAACCCAGAGCATGAGACACACATCGTGGGCCCGTGAGTAAATGACTGAATACAGAAGCTGTGTGCAGGAGAATCTGAGTTCAGTTGGGCCGGTGCCCGCCTCCATGCCAGCAGGAGGAAATAGTCCCCCAGAAGCTCACTGCCCTCCTGTCTACAGATGGAAGGGCTGGTGCCCAGGGCCCGGGTGCTGCCCCAGGAGACACGGCCACATCAGCCACTTCAGGGCCACCCTCCTCACCCGGTTCCCATTTCCCCTCATTTTAATAGTATAGTAAGAAAAAGTGCAGGAATGGGCTCCACCCTCTCTGCAGAGGGGCCCTCCGGAAAGTTCCATGTGCACCTGCAGCCTAGGGGGTGGCACTGCCAGGGTGGGGGTCCAGCCTCTGACCACAGGGGGCCCTCCCCAGGCTGGCCCAGCACAGTGGACACCATGGGCCGCACTATATGGACAGAGGGTGAGTCATGGGCACCGCCCCAGCGACAGCCCCCAGGGGCCACTCCAAGTCAAGCCCAAGATCCTGGAAGACACCAAGGCTGTCTGGGGGACCCATGGCCAGAGGCTGAGAGCCCCCTTCTTCTAGAGATCCAGAGCGCAGGGACTGACTGCCACCTGCCCACCAGACTGTTCCCGTATAACTCACGTGCTTTTTGTTTTCTGGTTTATGATGCTTCGACCTCTCCGGGGCCTTGCTGGCTGGGTGGAGATGCCCTCCCAGGGCTGGCTAATTCCTAGAGACAGCACAAGGTGCCTACAGAGCTCCCCTTTAATGCACAAGCCAACCCAACTGGAGCCTGTAAACCCAACCACCCCTTATCTGACTCACTCACCAAACCCACGTTCCTCTGCCCTCAATCACCCAGGGGCAGGATGGTGGTCAACTAGACACCACCCCATAGCCCGGAGCCCAAGGAAATTAACCTGTCCAATCCCGAACTTGCTCCTTCGTGCCCACCCTCCCTGGCCTCTCTTCCCAGGGAAACCCCTGTGAAGCCTCTGGCCACGCTCTCCCCTCTCACCTTCCGGGTCCTGTTGCCACAGCGCCCCCCGGTGGCCCTGTGTGGCATGGCACGTGCCCTCCTGTGGTTTAAGCTGCTGGGTCTGCAGTACTTTGTGACACTCTCCTTTCAAGTCAGGGTTCCTGTGTCTGTATCCCACCACACCCAACTGAAATAAATCCCGGTGCGTTTCATCACAGCCCTGCCTATCCCAGGCTTGCTGGAAGTAACCACTCACGGGCACCGAGGGGAAGGGGGCATGGATCACCTGGCTGAGACTACGTGGCTGCCGCCCTAGGCCTGGGGCCCAAAGCTCCTGGCCCAACCACAGAGCCAGCCCAGTGCCGGTGTGGCCACAGGCGATCCCCAAAGGTAAGGCCAGAAATCAGCACCCAGCCAGAGCTTCCCAGGCCAGCGGGCCCCACATCTGCGAGGCATGAAGTTGGGCGCCCACCCCAGGATCCAGCCCATCTGCACCTGGGAGCTGAATGTCCTAGCTACCAGCCAGAATGGGGTCCCCAGCAGTCTCCATCGGGCTCTGAACTGTTAATGTGTGACAGCCCTGCCCTCCCCGCCACTATTGCTGAGACAGTGTAGGGCCAGGCTGAGCACGCTGGCTTGTGCGGCGCGAGCCAAGACTCCCCTGAGACACGGTAAATGCCCCTTGTTCCAGGGCACTTTGGAACTGGGTATCTCCTCAGCCCCAAGGTCTCGCCAATTCAGCGTGCCCGTCGTTCTGGCCTCCTACAGGGAGATGACCCAGGGGGAGGGGAATTGATGGGTAAGCTCCCCAGCTCCCCGCTCCAGTATGGCGCAAAGTGCACCCCCATGGTCTCGGAGTTCCCAGGCGCTCACCCACCCCCGGCACCCCCATGGTCTCCGGGGCTCCCCTGTGCTCGCCCACCCCCAGCACCCCCATGGTCTCCAGGGCTCCCTGGCGCTCGCCCACCCCCGGTACGCCCACGGTCTCGGGGCTCCCTGGTGCTCGCCCACCCCCGGCACCCCCATGGTCTCCGGGGCTCCCCTGTACTCGCCCACCCCCGGCACCCCCATGGTCTCCGGGGCTCCCCTGTACTCGCCCACCCCCGGCACCCCCATGGTCTCCGGGGCTCCCCAGCGCTCGCCCACCCCCGGCACCCCCATGGTCTCCGGGGCTCCCCTGTACTCGCCCACCCCCGGCACCCCCATGGTCTCCGGGGCTCCCCAGCGCTCGCCCACCCCCGGCACGCCCACGGTCTCGGGGCTCCCTGGCGCTCGCCCGCCTGCGTTGCCACCGCTCAGTCCTAAGGCCCCGGTTCACTGTAACGCTCGGCTGTTGCTCTTTCGAATTCTTCGAATTCTTCGCTTTTGAACAAGGGGCTGCGTTTCCATTTTGCCTGCAGGGGTGCGCAACCATCCGCCAGAACCAAATCCTTACCCCAGCTCGGCATTTGGGGAAACTCAAACTGGGACAAGACTCGTCGTCCCGGGCGGGAAAGCGGGTGGGTGCAGAGGCCCGGGGGAGGGGTGGGGAGGCGGAGAAGAAAGTGGGGAGCGGGGGTCCCTGCAGGCTGCGGCTCCTTCCCGGCTTCCCGCCAGGAGCACCGAGCGGCGCTTCCTGCAGGCGCCCTCCACGCCCTCAAAGAGCCAGAGTTTGGTAAAGGCAGACAAGCAAACGGATGACTTTAATGAGGGGTGACAAGCACTCCGCAGGTGCGGGCGGCGGCGGGCTGCGGTCGGGGCCCAGCGCGGGCGGGAGAGGCGTCTGCTCCGGCCTCGCGCGCGGGGGGCGCGGCCCTTTCCCCTCCGGGAGGACGCGCAGGAGGCACCACGGCCTCCGGGTTGGAACAAACGCGTTTACTGCAGGCAAGGCGGTGGGCGCGGGGCGGCTCACCAGGCGAAGAGCGGCTTGCTGTCCTCCTTGGAGAGCTCGCACAGGCAGTTGAGCAGCAGCAGCGAGTCGCCCAGGAACTTGGGGGGCACCACGTCGATGACCAGCTTGCGCAGCGCGGCCGGGCTGCTGTGCAGGGGGTTGGCGCGCAGGTCCGGCCGCTGCTTCAGGATTCCGTAGGTGTTGATGAGGAACTCGCTGAACGCCGGGTGCACGTCGCGGCTGTAGCCCAGCTTCTCCAGGCGCGCGCTCAGGGCCAGGTAGCGCTGCGTCAGCTCGCGCAGCTTCTTCTCGTCCACGGAGCCGTCCAGGGACTTGATGGAGGTCTGCGGGCGCAGCGCATGGATGGCGGAGGCGGGGGGACCTCGGGGCCCTCGGACGGGGACTTCCAGGCCCAGGGCCGACCCCTGCCCCGCCCTCCTGGGTCCCCGGGGTCCCCTCCCGCGGACAGCGTCCGGGCAGGAGCCAAGATCTGGGGGCCTCAGAGGGATGAACCGAGCGCCCCGCACCCTCCTGGCCGCGCCCTCCCCGCGGGGCGCACCTGCTTGATCTTCTCGGGGATGTTGGCCACCGTGAAGCCGTAGAGCCGCGTCACGCCCGGAAACACGTAGGCCAGGATGCGGCGGTCCAGCTGGAAGGCGATCTCGCCCACCACGCGCGCGTCCTTCTCGGCGCCCGCGAAGCTCTGGATCTCTGGGGGAGGGAAGGCCGGGGACAAGGTCACCGGAGCGCGAGGATCTGTTGCCCCAGAGGGTCCCCCCCTCCGTCCCGCGGCCACGTGGGGGGCGGCTCCTCCATCCCCCCCTCCCCCGCCTGCCGCCACCCCCCACTGTCCGGCAAATAGAATCTGAAAGAAAAGGAGCTTCTTAAAGTGCCAAAGGGCAAGACAGGTTTCCCTTCGCACTGTCCTCGGCTCCCTTCTGTCCCTTTGGGACGAGGTAAACCTTTTCATCTTGGAGGTGGGAACTGGTCCCCTGTCACGGGGGAGTCTGCCCCAGCGCTGGCCCTGCGAGGACAGAGGAACCCGGCCCTGGAGGTGTGAGTTCGGACGGGTCCTCTCCAGTGAGGACGCCTGCGGAACAGGGCCAGTCGGCTTGCCTGGGAGGAAGGGGGACCTCCCCGCTTCCTCTGTCTTGGCAACCTCTGGGCCTCAAAGGCTGCTTTAATGTTTAGTCAGTAAAATGGCTTCATTCTTTCCTACCTCTGAGAAGATGATCGCTGGATTGGCAGGACATTCTTTTTTTTAAGCCGGAGTCTCAGTCTATCATCCAGGCTGGAGTGCAGTGGTGCCATCTCCACTCACTGCAACCTCCGCCTCCCCGGCTCAAGAGATTCTCCTGCCTCAGCCTCCCGAGTAGCTGGGACTATAGCTGCGTGCCACCACACCCAGCTACGTTTTTGTATTTTTAGTAGAGATGGAGTTTCACCATGTTGGCCAGGCTGGTCTCAAACTGCTGACCTCAGGTGATCCGCCCGCCTGGGCCTCCCATAGTGCTGGGATTACAAACGTGAGCCACCATGCCTGGCCCAGGACGTTCTATTTTAATTACTTCCTCGACATTACTTAGGAGTCTCCAATGCCCCCACAAAACCTGCTTCCAAACCCCCCTCCCCAGGACAGCCTCTGATGGCATCCGAGTCTATAACAGCACATGACCTTGTCCATCTTTTTCCTGAGGGATGGAAAACAGCATCTCATTTGCATTTCACTAACAACTAGTGATTTAAGCATCTTCGCACATGCTTATTGGCCATTTATATACTGTATATTCTTTGGAGAAATATCTATTCAGGTCCTATAGCGATTTTTCATTGGATTGTTTGTCTTCTTACTGTTGAATTGTCAGAGTTCTTAAATATTCTGCATACTAGTCCCATTTCAAATGCACAATTTACAAATGTTTTCTCCCATTCTCTGGGTTGGCTTTTCATTTTTTTGATACTGTCCTTTGAAGCACAAAATTTGTTTTTTGTTTTGTTTTACTTTTGATGAAGTCCAATTTGTCTGTTTCTCTCTTTGCTCATGCTTTTGGTGTGCTATCTAAGAATCCATTACCAAATCCAAGGTCACGAAGATTTACCCCTATGGCTTTTCTACGAGTTTTCTGGCCTCAGCTCTTTGGGACCTCTTAGGTCTTTGATCCATTTTGAGTTAATTTTTGTATGTGCTATGGAATAAGGCCCAGCTTCATTCTTTGGCATATGGATACCTCCTTGTTCCAGCACCACTTGTTAAACAGTATTCTGTCCCTACTAAATTGTGTTGGCACTCTTGTTGAAAACCATCTACGTACGGGTTTATTTCTGACCTTCCAATTCCATTGCATTGATCTGTATGTCCATCCTTACGGCAGTACCACAGTTTTGGTAACTGTAAGTTTTACAGTCAGTTTTGAAACTTGGGAATGCTGTTCTCCCTTTCCAAGATCGTTTTACCTATTCTGGTTCCTTACACTTCTATATGAATTTAAGTTTCTGTTGTCAATTTCTGTAAAGAAGCCACTGGGATTCTGATTGGGATTGCATGAATCTGTAGATCCAATGTAACCCATATCAAAATTATTGATTATTAAAACAATATAAAGTCTTCTAATCTGTTAACACAAGATATTTTTCTGTTTATTTATTTTTATTTATTTTTTGTTTGTTTTTTGGAGAAAGGGTCTCACTCTGTCACCCAGGCTGGAGTGCAGTGGCACGATCTCAGCTCACTGCAACCTCTGTCTTCTGGGCTCAAGTGATCCTCCTACCTCAGCCTCCTGAATAGCTGGGACCACAGGCATGCACCACCACGCCCAGCTAATTTGGGAGGTGGAGGGTTGGTAGAGATGGGGTTTTGCCCTGTTGCCCAGGCTGGTCTTGAACTCCTGGGCTCAAGAGATCTGCCCATCTCAGCCTTCCAAATTGCTGGGATTATAGGTGTGAGCCACCGTGCCTGGTCATTGATGACTTCTTCATTCCTTTCAATGATGTTTATAGTTTTCACTGTATTTCTTTCCCAATCACTTTTCAAGACTGCAGAAGAGGTAAGTCAATATGCAGAAGAGGTAAGTCAACATGCGAAGAGGTAAGTCAACATGCAGAAGAGGTAAGTCAACATGCAGAAGAGGTGCGTCAACGTGTAGTAAAGGTACGTCAACGTGCAGAAGAGGTAAGTCAACGTGCAGAAGAGGTACGTCAACGTGCAGAAGAGGTACGTCAACGTGCAGAAGAGGTAAGTCAACGTGCAGAAGAGGTACGTCAACGTGCAGAAGAGGTAAGTCAACGTGCAGAAGAGGTAAGTCAACATGCAGAAGAGGTACGTCAACGTGCAGAAGAGGTATGCCAACACACTATACAGAAGCGTGTTAGGGCCAATGAGGGGTGTGGAGGAGCAGGTGTAATCGTCTCCTTCTGTATCAATGTATTTCTGTCATCAAGAATCAAGCTCTTGGTCAGGCGCGGTGGCTCACGCCTGTAATCCTAGCACTTTGGGAGGCCGAGGTGGGTGGATCACGAGGTCAGGAGTTCGAGACCAGCTTGGCAAAAATGGTGAAACCCTGTCTCTACTAAAAATACAAAAATTAGCCAGGTGTGGTGGCAGGCACTTGTAATCCCAGCTACTCGGGAGGCTGAGACAGGAGAATGGCTTGAACCCAGGAAGTGGAGGTTGCAGTGAGCCAAGATTGTGCTACTGCACTCCAGCCTGGGCAACAGGGCAAGACTCCATCTCAAAAAAAAAAAAAAAAAAAGATTCAAGCTCTTTCTCTCATCCCCACCACCAAGGCATAAATTAGGTAGAAGAAGCATGCTATAGGTGAGAAATGATTCTAGTATAGGTTCTAGAAATTATTTCTAGTCCAACCTGTGCTCTGTAAGATCCAGCCAAAAACCTATTCTTCAAAGAAAAAAGGCCATACAATGATAAACCTGTAGCCTGACTTAGGGGAAAAAAGAAAGGAGACAAAAATTACCACTAACGGAAATTAGACATGCCACTACCACAGATTCTACAGACATAAAAAGAATAAGGAAGTATTAGGAATGACTTTATGCCAATAACTTTGACAACCTAGATGAAATTGATCGATTCCTTAAAAGACACAAACTACCAAACTTCACTCAAGAAGAAACACATAATCTGAATAGCCTTCTATCTGATAACCTTACAGGTCACATTTGACAGGAAACAGACTTCCAAACTGGCCTTGGGAAGGCCTTGTGATTGATGATCCCTGAGAAAAGAATCTTATCATGATTCCCTCAGATTGCTGATGTGCTGATTAATGCACTGAAAAACGCTGATTTATTCCTGAATCATAAAGGTTTACTGACTGTCTTGCGCAGAGATGTGTTGGCCTGTATGTTGTCATCTGTAGCCAATGCTTGTACCCTCTGTGTTGTACCCTCCAAAGAAAAGGGCAACATGAGTATGAGGAGTCCTTTCCCTTCTCCTAGCCTCTCCTATAGAAGTCTTCTGACTTAGGTTCCGGAAGACTCATAGCTTTGTGGGTGTGTTCCTGTGGGTTGATCCTCACATTTGGCTTCCAACAATCTTTATCGAATTATTTCTGTCTCAACAGCCTTAATTTCAGTTGATATTATCAGTAAAATGGAATTTGTAGGGGAAAAATGTTCCTATAGAGACCATTCAAGGCTCAGGTAGTTTCAGCAGTGAATTCTACCACTTAAGGAATAAATAACACCAATTCAACACAAACTCTTCTAGATAAAGAGGAGGGAAGACCACAAAACAATGAGAAAACAAATAACAAAATGGCAGGAGTAAGTCCTTATCAATAATAACTTTGAATGTAAATAGGCCGGGCACAGTGGTTCATGCCTGTAATCCCAGTACTTTGGGAGGCTGAGGGGGGGTGGATCACTTGAGGTCAGGAGTTTGAGACCAGCCTGGCCAACATGGCAAAACCCTATCTCTACTAAAAATACAAAGATTAGCTGGGCGTGGTGGCGTGTGCCTGTAATCTCAGCTACTCAGGTGGCTGAGGCATGAGAATTGCTTGAACCCAGAAGATGGAGGTTGCAGTGAGCCAAGATTGTGCCACTGCACTCCAGCCTGGGTATCAAAGTGAGACTTTGTCTCAAAAAAAAAAAAAAAAAAAAAAAATTACAGCACCGTCCAAAGCTGCATGAGACTGATGGTGTGTGAAGTTGGCTCAAAACGGCCAGGCGCGGGCGCACGCCCTGTAATTCCAGCACTTTGGGAGGCTGAGGTGAGCGGATCACGAGGTCAGCAGATCAAGACCATCGCCTGGCTAACATGGTGGAAACCCCATCTCTACTAAAATACAAAACAATTGCCGCTGGAGCTGGTCGGCGGTACCTGCAAGTCCCAGCTACTCGGGATGGCGAGGGAGAATGGTGTGAAACCGGGAGGCGAGCTTGCCAGTGAGCTGATATCCGCGCCTTCTGCACTCCAAGCCTGGGCGAGAGAGGCAAGACGGCCTGTCTGGCGGCAAAAAAAAAACACCAAATTGCTTTGAATGAAAGAGACCTTAACACTCTCCAATCAACAAGACGGAGGAGTGGCTGGATGGATTAAAAAAAAAAAAAAAAAAAGACCCAACCATCTATTGCCTACAGGAAACACACTTTGCCTATAAAGACACACATAGACTGAAAATAAAGGGATAGAAAAAGATATTCCATGCAAATGAGAACCAAAAAAGAGCAGGAGTAGCCATACTTCATCAAAGCAGATTTCAAGACAAAAACTATAAAAAGAGAGAAAGAAGGTCATTATATAATGATTAGGGGGTCAATTCAACAAGCGGATGTAACAGTTGTAAATATATATGCACCCAACACTGGAGCACCCAGATATGTAAAGCAAATATTACCAGAGCTAAAGTGAGAGACAGACCCCAATACAGTAGTAACTGGAGACTTCAAGACCCATTTTCACCCTTGGCAGATCTTTAAGACAGAAAATCAAAGGAATATCAGACTTAATCGATACTATAGACCAAATGAACATAATACAGAACATTTCATCCAACAGGTGCAGAATACACATGCTTCTTGTAAGCACATGGATCATTCTCAAGGATAGACCATATGTAAGGCTGCAAAACAAGTCTTTAAAAATCACACAATTTGCCGGGCGCGGTGGCTCAAGCCTGTAATCCAAGCACTTTGGGAGGCCGAGACTGGCAGATCACGAGGTCAGGAGATCGAGACCATCCTGGCTAACATGGTGAAACCCCATCTCTACTAAAAAATACAAAAAATTAGCCGGGCGAGGTGGCGGGCGCCTGCAGTCCCAGCTACCCAGGAGGCTGAGGCAGGAGAATGGCATAAACCCAGGAGGCAGAGCTTGCAGTGAGCCAAGACCCGGCCACTGCACTCCAGCCTGGGCGACGGAGCAAGACTCCATCTCAAAAAAAAAAAAAAAAAAATCAAACAATTGAAATTATATCAAGTATCTTCTCTGACCACAATGGAATAAAATGAAATCAATAACAAAAGGAATTTTGGAAACTATACCAACACACAGAAATTAAACAATACGCTCCTGAATGGCCAGTGCATCATTGAAGAAATCAAGAAGGAAATTTTAAAATGTCTTGAAACAAATGATAATGGAAACACAACATACCAAAACCTAGTATGTACTAGACACAGCAAAAGCCATACTAAAAGCTATAGTGATAAGTATTAAGAGTTTACAGCTATTAGTGCCTACATCAAAAAGTAGAAAAACTTCAAATAAACAAGCTAATGATTCATCTCACAGAGCTAGAAAAGCATGAGCAAACCAAATCCAAAATTAGAAGAAAAATAATTAAGATCAGAGCAGAAATAAATGAAATTTAAATGAAGAAAACAATACAAAAGATCAATGTAACAAAAAATTGGTTATTTGAAAAGATAAATAAAATTGACAGGCCAGGCATGATGGCTCATGCCTGTAATCCCAGCACTTTGGGAGGCTGAGGCAGGCGAATTACTTCAGTCCAGGAGTTCAAGACCAGCCTAGGCATCGGAGCAAAATCCCATCTCTACAATAACAAAAACACAAAAAGCAAAAAATTAGCCAGGCCTGGTGGCATATACCTGTAGTCCCAGATACCTGGGAGGCTGAGGTGGGGGGTTAGCCTGAGCCTCAGGTGGATATCTACATGCAAACCTCACACCATATAGGAAAATTATCTTGGAACTGATCAGAGACCTACATGTAAAACCTAAACTATAAAACTTCTAGAACAACACATAGGAGAGAATCTGTGTGACCTTGGGCTTGGCAAAAATGTCTTAAACTGAACATAAAAAGCATAAAATACAAAAGAAAAATCAATAAATTGGACATCATCAAATTAAAGTTTTGCTCATCAAAAAACATTATTATGGAAGTGGAAAACCTTGGTGTGGGAGACTGTATCTGCAAAACACACACCCAAAAAAGGACTCACATCCAGACACGTAACCCTTCCCAAGAAGACCAGCAATGCATTTTTTCTTGGCAAAAGACTAGGACAGACACAGCCTCGGACCCCAGCCTCCCAGCCTGGCTCTCCTCCCTCCACTCTGTGTGACGCGATGGAGAAACGGCCCTGCCTGACCACCCAGACGCGCCCTCCCCACAGCTACCAGCTGCACTGGGGGCCCGCCCAGGCGTCCCCGCACCTGGCCATACCATTGAGGTAGTAGCTCCTCCTGGTCCTGTCCCCGCTGGGCAGGCTGCTCTCCGAGAAGCACACCTTCTTAGGCCGGACCATCTCCCTGGGCTCCAGCAACGTCTTGTCCACCAGGGAGTCTTGCAAGGGGCTCAGGAGCGGGGACAGCTTCCTGTCGGTGCCTCGGTGGCTGTGCAGCTCCGGGGGACTGAGGAAGGCCTTGAAGGGTGACTGGGAGGGGGCTGCGCAGCCCGGGGAGGTGTCGTCCTCGCTGGACAGGGGGGCATGTGAGCACAGCAGGTCCTCCAGGGAGGATGTCTGCAGCTGGGAGGGCGTGTCGGCAACACTCGTGAACCTTCCGAAATCCGGAACTGAGGTGGGGAGGAAAGGGGTGAGAAGTCAGGCTGATGCTCCTAAAACATTCCTGAGAAGTACAGAGAACATGGTAACAAACTGGATGCACCCCACCCCAAGCTTCAACACCTGCTGGGGTTTCCCTGGCTTCAGAGCATCCTCCTTCCCCTCAGGCCTCAGGTGCAAAAGGAGGAGCTGGATGTGGTGAAGTGGCCACAGGTGCCCATCCTGCCCGTGGGAGCACTGCGCCTATGGGCACAGCAAGTGGGCAGGCCTCCATGTGCCTCCTGCCTGCCTGTGCGCCCATACACACTGGAGAATGACTTCTATATGCTCCTTAAATTGTACATAAATGGTACCACCCTACACATTTTATTCTGCAACAGAACTTTTTGCTGCTGCATTATCTCTGAGATGTATCCACGTTGAGCCATCTGGTAGCTCCCTGGTTCATTTAACTGTTTCCTGGCACCTCTGTACACGTGAGCACACACACATACACACACAGTGAATTTTTATCCCTTGCCCTGTTGATGGACAGGGCCTGTTTCCATGTTTCCTTGCAAACACACAGCGGTAATCAGCCTCCCGGGAGGAGCTTCCCTGCTCCGTGAGCATCCTCTGTGGTCCAGCGCTGGGCTCAGGTCACAGCTGTAATCAGCCTCCTGGGAGAAGCCTCCTGATCTGCGAGCATCCTCCACGCCCCGGGAGGAACCTCCTGCTCTATGAGCATCCTCCATGTCCCGGGAGGAACCTCCTGCTCTATGCGTATCCTCCATGCCCCAGGAGGAACCTCCTGCTCTATGAGTATCCTCTGTGGCTGGGGAGGAGCCTCCTGCTCTATGAGTATCCTCTGTGGCTGAGGAGGAGCCTCCCTGCTTTATGAAGATCCTCCATGCCCCGGGAGGAACCTCCTGCTCTATGAGTATCCTCCATGCCCCGGGAGGAACCTCCTGCTCTATGAGTATCCTCCACGCCCCGGGAGGAACCTCCTGCTCTATGAGTATCCTCCATGCCCCGGGAGGAACCTCCTGCTCTATGAGCATCCTCTGTGGTCCAACGCTGGGCTCACGTGTGTGCACTTTCTTTGCTCTCCACACCAAGGGGGAGGGTCCATGCCCACCAACAGCTCCTGGCCCCACACCCTCACGAGGACTGAGTATTCCCCAACCAGGCTGATGAGGTCATGTGGCATTTCTCTAATCCCTGGTCAAGTTTAGCTTATCTATGCCTTTATGGCTTATAAAATTCTATTCTACCTCCATGTCATGAGTATTCTCCTAGCAATAAAGCAAATACATATTAGAGAAAGTGTTCAGAGCCATATAAAAAAATTATACCTTAAAATGTGTCTACCGGAGCTTGCAGTGAGCCGAGATCATGCCACTGCAATCCAGCCTGGGCAACAGAGCAAGACTCCGCCTCAAAACAAAAACAAAAACAAACAAACAAACAAAAAAAATGCCTACAAAGGAACCAACCAACTAATCTTCCATCTGAAATGCTTTCCAAGGAAAAAAAGTGTTCAAAAGAAGCAAAGTCATTAATGTGTGCCTGGCCTCCTGCCACATGGGAGGCCTGGAGTCCTCGGGCTTCACAGGCTCCCAAGAATATTATGGGCCGGGCGCGGTGGCTCAAGCCTGTAATCCCAGCACTTTGGGAGGCCGAGACGGGTGGATCACGAGGTCAGGAGATCGAGACCATCCTGGCTAACATGGTGAAACCCCGTCTCTACTAAAAAATGCAAAAAACTAGCCGGGCGAGGTGGCGGGCGCCTGTAGTCCCAGCTACTCGGGAGGCTGAGGCCGGAGAATGGCGTGAACTCAGGAGGCGGAGCTTGCAGTGAGCTGAGATTCGGCCGCTGCACTCCAGCCTGGGCGACAGAGTGAGACTCTGTCTCAAAAAAAAAAAAAAAAAAAAAGAATATTATGTACAATTGTGTATTAATTAAAGTTTCAATAAAAGGAGATATCTCCTGGAAAATTACTTTCAAGTGACTCAATAAGAAGTAGAAAACCTAAATGAACCAATACACAAGGAAAATCTAGAAGTTATAAAATGATTATTCCCCAAAGGGCTGCAGGCCTGGATGGTCTGTGGGTGAGTCTGCCAACTTCCCCAGCAAGTCATAATCCTGACATCATACAAATGAGGCTGGAACCATAGAACAGGTTAAAAGATGCTCAATTAGGTTTCAAAATTTGTCACAACTCTGATGTCAATTTCCTACAAAGATAACCCCCAGAAAAAAACAAAAAGCCATGGCCAGGCCAAAAATTATTGCACAAAGTCTCATCCAAACATGATCAACAACAGACAGCACGAGGCACAAGTGTACACAGACATGAGGTAGAGGTGCAGAGCGTGAGGCAGGAGATGCACAGAGCATGAGGCAGGGTGTGCAGAGCACGAGGCAGGAGGTGCACAGAGCACGAGGCGGGAGATGCACAGAGCACGAGGCAGGGGTGCACAGAGCACGAGGCAGGGGTGTGCGGCACACAAGGCAGGGGATGCACAGAGCATGAGGTGGGGGTTGTGCAGAGCACAAAGCAGGGAGGTATGCAGAGAACAAGACGGGGTGGAAAGCAAGAGGCAGGGTGTGCGGAGCCCAGTGGCTGTGCAGCGTAGCAAGATCCCACATACAGTCCCTGGCAAGAAGCTGAGTTACCTCCACTGGTACAGAGACAGGCTCATAAACACTGAACAAGATGAGCCGTTTCTCAAATTTTCTGTTTTCCAAAAATAAGAACTGGAAGGACTCTTCCCCAGCATCCAGCCTGTACAAACCTCCCTCCTCTGGGCAGATGGGACCGTTGGTCCCTCCCACAGCTGGTCAGGAGGACCAGGATGCAGCTGAACCCTCTCTCACCTTCCCTGGAGGAGACCCCATGAAAGTCAAGGCCAAAGCCCGAGTTCTGAGTTACAAGGACAAAAACAGAAATAAGAAGTTCATGTGGACTGGAGGGGCGGGATGGCCGGCCAGATGCAGCCAGGTGATACAGCTCCCACGGAGGGCCTGAGATGACTGGTGAGCTTTTAACACATCTTCAGAGGGAAGGTGCTGAGGGCAGACGGAGGGAGCACACCGAGGCTGGGCTGAAGGGGAGAAAGCTGGGAACCCTGCCTGGGACCACTGAGCACTGGTACTCATTTTTGGACCTACAACCGCTCTGGGAAAATGGGGGAGTTAAATGGGCAAGGAGCAACCCACTGTTGCCATGGCCCTCTGGATCCCCAGCTGGGGGAGACCCCGCGGCCACCATGGACACTCCAGTTGGCAAGGAGAGCTGCTTAGAGAAGTGGTGGGGGCAGCAGTTAGCTAAGCAGAGCCCAGAGGGTCTGGTGCGGGAACACAGCCAGGGATGGCCACTCCCCAGGCTTGACTTGCTCCCATAGGAGACTTTGGGCCTAGGGGAAGTGTCAGACCTGATCTCTGCAGGGTGGTCTTGCCCATCAGATGGGACCGGTCTGACCTGAGCACCCCTTGGTCTTCTGGCTTCTCCTGGGGCCCCAGCCTGGCCATGCCTGCTTGCAAGGCAGTCTTGGGTGCCCTGGGGGCCTTCGCCATAGCTTCTGTGCTGGCAGACTGTGCCTGACCAGTGGAGAGCTCCAGCGAGACAGCCCCAATGGCCACATACCAGCCCACCCACTCCCTCTTCATACTGCAGCTTCCCCTGGGCCCAGGCAACTCGCCACATCACTCAGCTGGTGTCTGCACAGGTGGGTTTTGATTTCCTTCCCCAACCAGCACACAGGAGTCCAGTCGGCCTCCCCTTTCCCCACAGACTTCCATTGCAAATGAAGCCTTGGCACACACAGAGCCAGCAAGCCCCATACCCGCCAGCACCCTGCCCTTGACCTAACACTGAGCAGAGAATGGTGGATCCTCCTGGACCCTGAGCAATGACTCCTGCTTGCAGGACACAGAAAAGGCACCTAGACCTGTGCCCACCAGCACCCCGCCCCATGCCTACAGTACCTCCAGAGTGACTGCACACAGTCTCCAGCAGGAGCCCCCCATGCCCACCCCAGCTGCTTTGCCACCACCATTGTGGTGAACCCCCACAGGAAGGCAGGCACCCTGCATCTGCCAGCCATTCTGCTGTAGCTGCAGTACCTCAGTCCCCCAGTGCAGTGGATTCCAAACCTCAAGGAGCCAGAGAACAAAGTCAGGGCCCAAAACAAGTGCCCCAGAGCTAAAGCATGCAGTCCAGGAGTTGGGAGCTGGGCACTGGCCCCTTAAATATTCCATAAATGAAGCCAGTTGGCTGAATCCTCCTTATACCACAATCAAAACCTCAAGGTCATCAAACAGACCAGGTACGGTGACTCACGTCTGTAATCCCAGCACTTTGGGAGGCTAAAGCAGGCAAATCACTTGAGGCCAGGAGTTCACGACCAGCCTGGCCAACATGATGAAACCTCGTCTCTCCTAAAAAATAACAAAAATTAGCCAGGCATGGTGGTGGATGCCTGTAATTCTACCTACTTGGGAGGCTGAGGCAGGAGAATCATTTGAACCCAGGCAGCGGAGGTTGCAGTGAGCCAAGATTGCTACCACACTCCAGCCTAGGAGACAGAGCAAGACTCTGTCTCAAAAAAAAAGACACAGAATGGCAAGTTAGATAAAGAACCAAGACTCATTGGTATGCTGTCTTCAAGAGACCCATCTCACATGCAATAACACAAACGGGCTCAAAATAAAGGCATGGAGAAAAATCTACCAAGCAAATGGAAAACTACAATTGCAGGGTTGCAATGATAGTTTCTGACAAAACAGATTTTAAACCAATGAATATAAAAAAAGACAAAAAAGAGCATTACACAATGGTGAAGGGTTCCATTTAACAAGCAGACCTAACTACACTAAATATATATGCACCCAACACAAGAGCACCAAGATTTATAAAGCAAGTTCTTAGAGACCTTCAAGGAGGCTTAGATTCCCACATAATAATAGTGAGAGACTTTAACACCACACTGACAGTATTAGACAGATAACTGAGACAGAAAATTA